TTCTTTTAAATGTACTTTTCCTGGCCTAGAAAATCCCTCTTTTCCTCCGTCCATGGAACAATTGGTGAAGATAACATACACCTATGGAGGGAGGTCCTCATACCAATCATGATATTGATTACTTGATAAGCTAATCAAAACATAATATCATATGGCAGAACAAATACATGATAAAATAATTGAATCAAATATTAATTGAGCATTTTATAGGTATGTTAGTTTTTATGGTGCTAACAAGAAATATAAAATCTCTGTCCTCAATAAACTTAAAATCTAATTGGGGAGACAACGCATACACATTTTCTATTGCATAGTTTTAGTTGAGGTGACATAAGGACATATTTGGGTGTCACAAACAAAAATTTAGAAAGTAATCTCTATCCCAACATTCCAGAAATATCTTTGTTTTTTCTTAGGGATTTCCTTTTTTTTTTTTTGTGAGCTACTAAGTACCTCAGGGACTGCTTGGCCAGTAGCTCTGAATTTTTTTGGATGCCTTCTATCAGTCTACAGATGTGCTGATCCCTGAATAAAAAGCAAAATACGAAACAAATCTTCCTTAGAAATAGTGGTACCCATTCGTGTTTCACTGCATATGCATATACTATCTAACTAAAGTATGGCTAATTTGTTATGAATACTTGAATCTCAGAAGAACTAAAATTACAAATAACTCAAAGGTTAATAGAAAGGTAAATGGTGAGTGTTAGCATGTTCAGATGCATAAATGATGATCAGAATGTGAAACACAATTAAAGGAGTGTTAAAGACATGATTGATGATACAAATGACTGGAAAAGGAAGTGGGCCAGTTATGAAGCAAGAATAGAAGATGGAGAACTTGAGTCCTTCATTGGTACCTCCAGATAATAAAGAACAAGAAAGACTCTAGACATTGGCTAGATACTCTATAGAGGATTTATGGGAAAACATAGACTAGAATTGTGCATAATCACTGAGAGACTGAAAAATTAAGAGGTACCTAGCTTCATTAGTGGAAGAGGTTGCCACACTGATGAAATCACAAATCCATCAAGGTATGGCTTATATGAATACCTAATTATTTATAGAACCACATTCTATATCTTTCTCTCTTCCTTCCTTCCCTTCCTCCCTCCCTCCCCCTCCCTTTCTTCCTTCCTTCTTCCTTCTTCCTCTTCCTCCTCCTTTCTTCCTCTTCCTTCTTCCTGCCTGCCTGCCTTCCTTCCTGCCTTTCTGTCTGCCCTGTTTCCTTCTCTCCCTGCCTTCCTATATGCTTGCCTGCCTGCCTTATTTTTCTTCCCTCTACCCTACCTGTCTCTGTCTAATGGTCTGTCTTAGTTCAAAGTAAAGTTCATTTGATCCTCTGAGTTTCATTCCTGGACCTTGAAACTTTGCTTAGATTCAGCCTTGCTACATAGTTCTTAGCTTCATTAAACTTCTGCCTTCCCATTCTTTAGTAATTCTACTTCTAACCACCAAGTCTTCATTCCCTTACTATCTCTCCCCCAGATATGCACTCTGATCTCAAGCTTAAGTATTACAAAGTAAGTGATTTCACTTAGCACATGCACAGACATTCCTTCTATATCTCCTACTATAAAATGGGGCTTCTAAATTGAGTAAATTTTGAATATTAATCTGAATGAACAACAAACATCTTAAGTCACTTTTCCTATAGATGATTTAACCTGACTTTTCACATTTAAATCTCAGAGACTCTTACCATTAAAATTTACATCATTTCAGCCTTTAACAAAGTATGATATTCAACTCTGAGATTCAAACTTGTATGTAAATTTCCTAGATTAATGGAAGAGGAAATAGAATACTTAACACTATCTTAGAAAAAAAATTTGAACAAGCCATCGATTAGTTCCCCAAGAAAAAATCCCCAGGACCAGATTGATTCAAAAGCAATTTCTACCAGACATTTAAAGAACAATTCGTTCCAATTTTATATAAACTATTTGGAAAAAGAGGTAAAGAAGGAATCCAACCAAATTCCTTTTATGACATAAATATAGTGCTAATGCTTAAACCAGGAAAAAAGCAAAAATAGAGAAATAAAACTATAGACTAATTTCCATAGTGTATATTGATGCAAAATTTTTGAACAAAATACTGGCAAGGAGATTATGACAATATATCAAAAAGATCATACATTTTATGACCAGGTGAGATTTATACCACAGATGCAGGGATGGTTCAATATTAGAAAATTATTAGCAAAACTGACTCTATTGATAACAAATAGAACAAAAATCACATGCTTGTCTCAACAATATGGGGAAAAAACTTTTTGACAAAATATAACACATTCTTTTTTAAAAAAACACCAGAAAACATAGGAATAAATGGAGCTTTCCTTAAAAATGATAAGAAGTATTTATTTAAAACCATCAACATGCATTAGCTATAATAAAGATAAGGTAGAAGCCTTCCCAATAAGATCAGGGGTGAAATAAGGATGTACATTATCACCACTATTAGAGTAGAAATGCTAGCTATAGCAATAAGACAAGAAAAAGAACTTGAGGGAATAAAAACAGGCAATGAGGAAACAAAACTATCACTCTTTGCAGATGATATGATGGTATACCTGGAGAATCTGAGAGAATCACCTAAAAAATTAGTTGAAATAATTAACAACTTTAGCAAAGTTGCAGGATATAAAATAAATCCACATAATCATTAGCATTTCTACATGTTACCAATGAAGTCCAACAGCAAGAGATAGAGAGATTTCATTTAAAATTAACTGTAGACAATATAAAATACATGGGAGTCTACCTGCCAAAAAAAAATGAAGAACTCTAGGTATACAATTACAAAACAATTTTCACACAAATAAAGCCATATCTAAACAATAAAAAAAATATTAATTGCTCATGGGCAGGCTGAGCCAATATAATTCTACCTAAATTAATTTACTTGTTCAGTGCCATACCAATCAAATTACCAAAAATATTGTGTAGAGATAGAAAAAAAAATAATAAAATTCATCTCGAAGAAGAAAAGGTCAAGAATATCAAGGGAATGAATGACAAAAAATGTGAAGGAAAGTGGCCTAGATATACCAGATTCCAAACTGTATTATAAAGTGGTAATCATTAAAACAATCTAGTATTGGCTTAGAAATAGGATGGTGGAATAATGCAGCAGATTGGGTACACAACACATGATAGTAAATTATCATAGTAATCTAGTATCTGATAAATACAAAGATCTCAAGCTTTTGAAATGAGACTTAACTATTTGACAAAAACTGATGGGAAAACTGAAAAGCATTTTGGCGTAAAACTATGTTTAGCCAGCATCTTACAGCTTATAAGGTCAAAATGGGGACATGATTAGACATAAAGAGTGATATCCTAAGGAAATTAAGGAAACATGGGATAGTTTACCTGTTAGGTCTATGGATATGGAAAGAATTTATAAGCAAAGAAGATATAGAAAGCATTATTAGACATAAAATACATAATTTTGATTACATTAAATAAAAAAGATTATGCAAAAACAAAACCAATGTAGCCATGATAAGAATGAAAGCATAAAACTGGGAAAACTTTTTTTTACAGCAAGTTTCTCTGATAAAGTCCTCATTTCTCCAATACATAGAGAATTGAATCAAATTTATAAGAATACAAGTCATTCCCCAATTGGTAAATGGCCAAAGGATATGAACAGCCAGTCTATCTATAGTCATATGAAAAAATTGCTCTAAATCACTATTGAGGAGGGAAACGCAAATCAAAATAATTCTGAGGTGCCACCTCACACCTAACAGATTGGCTACTATGACAGAAAAGAAATATGACAAATGTTGGAGGGGATATGGTAAAATTGGAACACTAACACACAGTTGGTGGATTTGTGAACTGATCCAACCATTTTGGAGAACAATTTGGAACTATGCCCAAAGGGCTACAAAATTGTGCATACCCTTTGACCCAGCAATATTGCTCCTAGATCTGTATCCCAAAGAGATAAAAAAGGAAAAGGACTCATATGTACAAAAGTATTCATCGTAGCTCTTTAAGTGATGGCAAAAAATTGGAAACTGAAGGGATGCCCATTATTTGGGGGATTGATGAACAAATTGTGGTATATGTTGTGATGAAATGCTATGGGGCTATAAGAAATGATGAGTAGGCTGATTTCAGAAAAACCTGGAAAGACTTACATGAACTGACCAGAACCAGAACATTGTACACAGTAATAGCAATATTGTATGATGATGAATTGTGAATGACTTAGTTATTCTCAGGATTACAAAGATCCAAGACAATTCTGAAGGACTTATGATGAAAAATGCTGTCCATTTCCAGAGAAAAAATTGATAGGGTCTGAATGCAGATTGGAGCATGCTATTTTTAGTTTCTTAAATTTTTTTTGATCTGTGTTTTCTTTTACAACATGACTAATATGGAAATATGTATTACATTATGGCACATAGATAAGCTATATCAAATCACTTGCCTTCTCAATGGGGATGAGGAGAAAGAAATTTGAAAAAATAATGCTAATATTGCTTTCACATGTAATCGTAAAAATTTGTATATTTTTTTAAAAGAGATTCAAACTCTGCAGAGAAACAATGAACTTGAGTAATAGTCCCTCTCTATTTCATGTTCCTGGAACCCACATACACTCCTGTGTTAGATTTAGGAATCATGGATAAGTTTAACCTTTTAGTGAGCTTTAAAGGGAAGAAGAGGAAAACAAAAACCATTACCTTCTTAAATGCTCGGAATTGGCAGCAAAATCTCTGGTTAGTTCTACATATCTAAAGTGATATTAAGTATTGAAGCAATTATTTGCATAACCTAAAGAAAAGCTATCAGGGACTCATAAATAGGTGACAGCATAATCCCAAACTATGTAGGTACCTTCTGTATCTGCCAAATAAATTCAGACAAATGGATACCACAAATAATCCTACACTTACACACAGAACTTTCAAGTAGAATTTCTACTTTAAAGCTACAGTTTATCCATAAAGGGCCATACGTCCCTACCTGGAAGACCAAGAATAGTGTAATATGGTCGGCACTCAGTAAAACCTGAGCTCTGCTTCACACAGCTCCTCCAAAGCCCTTCATACTGGAACACAGATGTTACTGGGTTGTCATACAAGTCCTGGGTGCTCCATGTGTCTAGCCCTGTGGCAGCTATGCACCCTGCAAATCCCAGGGTAGACAGGATGAACCCCATCATTTGGCAAAGTGTTGTTGACATGGTCTTTCTTCCCGCGTCCTCTTCCTTTCACCACAGGAGATATAGATGAGTTATGTTTATGGGTGCCGTGCACCTGATTGAAAAAATGAGTCTTCTTAACCAAGCCACTAGGAAGGGAGCAGCTCTTTAATCAGTTTCTTTCCCTCTGCTGTAGATATTTGCTCAAAGTGTTTTCCTTAGATAGTCCAGTCTCACTCTTGGTAGGCAGGAATTATTTTCCCTTCTGTTCAAAAGCTAGAGTGAGTGGGCTCTTGTCCTTCTGAGTTAAGCTGGCTTGGCTTGTTTGAGTGCAAGGACAACCTTCACTGCAATGAAATTCTTTTAACAGCCTTGCTTCCCTCTTCTTGGTTTAAGCCTACATTACTGACCATATCCAGAGACCTTATAATGGGCTGTATATACTGTTTAGGAAGAATGTTTTAAGTATTTTCACATCATAAAAAATAAACAATAAGCTTTTGCCATCCATTATGTGAGGGCTGAGAAGAGAATTGCAATAGTGATAACATGCCTTGCAATTTTGTGATGTTTTAAATTATTATAGTATACTTTCACAGATATTTTCTCACAAGTATCCTGTGGAGGGGTCGGGGCAGGTAACCTCACTTAGAAAGAGAGGTACCCAAGACTCATAGACTCATAGATTTATAGCTGGAAAAGATTTGAGAAGTCATCTAGTCCATGTGCCTCATTTTACAGATCAGGAAACTGAGGCCAAGAAAGTTCTAGAAACTTGCCCAAGGTCACACAACTAGTACAGCTAGAACTGAAAATTGTCTTCTGATGGACTTTCAATATCATGTCCCTTGAAAATGAGGAGACTTCTAAAATGGATAGATAGGAAGGCCCAGGGCATGGAAGACAGCAAAACATTACACATTAAAAAGAGTCTTCATACTATGGAAGCACAACTGGTTTTCATTTTCTTCTGGTGACCTAGAGTGGTTTAACTTTTTTTCTCTCAAGAAGAGAGACCAGCTGATTAAATTGTAGGTAATTAGTGGAATATGTGAGTTAATGTGAAGTTTTTTACTATTCAAATCCTCAAATGTATCTATGATACAAACCTACTCATGTAGGTATTCCCTCCAATGATGCAGATTGGATGGAATTCATCCATAAGCAGTCTAAAGCACACAGTTGTAGATTTACAGCTAAGAAGGACCAGCTAAGTGGTATAGAAAATAGAATGCTAGATTTAAATTCAAGAAAATCTGAGTTCAAATCCCAACACAATCTCTTAATAGTTGTGTGACTCTGGGCAAGTCACTTAACCTTTGCTTCTTCATTTGTATGTTTCCTCATTTGTATGACTCTTATGTCCTTTCACAAATTTGCTACAAGACATTCATCCCAAATGATGAGACTTTTCCTAGCTTTTTCTTCACATTGTGAGGATACCAGTAGAACACCTACATTGTCCACCAGTTAGCTGTTGCTCTCATCTTGTGACGAGGCCAATTTCTTTTTAAATCATACATTTTTCTGATGCTATCTTTTACTTTGATTTAGTTTCTCATATGTTATGCAATAGAGGTAGCTGGGGGGAACGCTGAATAGAGTACTGGATTTGGAGTCAGGAAGGCCTGTGTTTGAATTTTGCCTCAAATACTTACTAGCTGTGTGACCCTGGTCAGGTCATTTAACTTCTCTTGGCCTTGGTTCCCTAATTTCTAAAATGAGAGGATTGAATTCAAGAGCAACAATAATAGTAGCTAGCAGTTATAAAGCGTTTTCAGATTAGCAAAGCACTTTACATAAATTATCTCATTAATTACCACCACAACACTGTGAGATAGGTGCTATTATTATCCTCATTTTATAGATAAGGAAACTGAGGCAACAGAGGTTAAGCGTCTAAATTGGGATTTAAACTTAGATCTTCCTGACTCCAAGTCCGGCACTATATTCAATGTGTCATGATGGTCCCTTCTAGCTTAAAATCTATCTTCTTACATGTTGAAGACTACATACATACACCATGTACGATATCTCTATTACCCTCTGAATAACACTAATTTTTATTTCTTTGGAGATAATAATGTTCCACACTTTGCAGCAACAGGAGTAGAATATTGGTATTTAAAAAAATGACTCCTTGTTTCTGGGAGAAGTTTGGGGCTATTAAGTGATTTTTTTTAAAAGAGCATCCTACAAAATTATATCCAACTCATGTAATTTTATAGTGTGCACTAAGGAACTAAAATGCATACTGTACTCCCAAAGAAAATTATAGCATCTTTTCCACAAGAGCTTTCAGTACAATACGCCAAAGCTCCAATACAGCATGAGGAGAAAATACTTCTTTGGCTTAAGTTATCTAGTACTGGTATCTCCATGCTTAACATTATCAAATAATTTATAAGACTATTATTTCATTTTAGTTTTGTGTACCTAGCCTCTAAATGTTTATAGAGGTTTTAACTACACTTCCCCCAAACCTGGATTTCAGGGCACTCCATAGACCACTTAAAAAAAAATCAATCTCTCCATTCCTCAGTGATACTGTACTGGGAAAGCAGCACTGTACTTTTGGGCATTTCAATGTTATCTTTGCTATACCCAACCCTTGTTCCAACTTTCTTTATTCTTAGCAAATACAGTAAGCAAACATAAAATGGCTCTTGATGAATTAAATGGTTTTCTCCCTCTTTTGTATTCCTTAACATAATTTCTCTAAGATAATGTACACACCAATAGTGTAGTTATAGCTCAAAAGTAAGGATACATTGACAAATGGAGACCCTGAATGGAGTCACAGAGACCAGGAGCACTTGGTATTGGGACTAGAATGAATTACAATATTCTCTGACCAGGCTGATAGACTGGGAACTTTCAGAAGATAGTATGTTTAGGGAACAACACTAGCTTAGAAGTCAAGAGATCTGGGTTCTAGGCTTGGTTCTGGGGCTTAGGTAAACATTTCTCTTTTCTGAACCTTTGCTTTTTCATCTCTAAAATATTCAATTATTCTTGGATTCTTTTCACCCCTAATAGGCCTAGATTGCTTGGTTTGATGATTAGACTGAAAATTATCATTGAAACAATTCTGGAAGTATTGTACCACTCTGAAGGTAGATGTGATCTTATTGTACTTTCCCTCTAAATGCAGGGTCAAGGGCTTCAACCTTAGCATTTGATTGCCATCATAAGTTTTTTTTTGGCTTTGTCTCCAAATATTCATCTTGTGACATTTGGAGTCTTTGTCTACATGACAAGAAAACAGCTGGTTCAAAGTGAAAAAAAATTTTTCAATGATCTACCTTTCTAGTAGTTAGCTGTACACAGGGCCAAATGTCCAGATGATTGGATAATCAAATATGAATGCTTGACTTAACTTTTCCTTTTCTCTCTTGGTACCATGCAGATACATCTAAAACTTAATAGGTCTGAGATTTCATGGATAGGCACACATCTTTCACTAGTGTACTTCTAAGACCATCTACATCTTCTCATCCCATTTGACTCTTATCCATATCCTTCCACAAATCCTCTATACAGATGTACTTATCAATTTTAGAAGTATGCCTCTATGTATTTTGACACTGCATGGGAACCAGTATAAAAATTGGGCTGTCCCTTAATTTCCTGGTATGACCAACTCATCCCACCCCTTTTTAAAGTCATACTGAGGTTCAATGATGCCCTTTATTCTATTATCTCCATACAAGTCTTTGTTGGCAATATTCTGAATCCTGCTTACACTCAGCATGTATCTTTCCATTGATCTTTGGGTTTTACTTGAAATTTTCATTTTGCTTGAGATTGAATTGTAGTTGGATTTATGGCTCATGCCTGTAGTTCTTGCTACTGGGGAGGGTGAAGCTGGTGGATCACTTGAGTTTGCGAATTCTAAATGGCAGGAAGACTAATGCTAATCAGAAGTTAGCACTAAGTCCAGCACCATCTCTGAGGAACAAGGTTTAATGTGAAGAAGCAGGGGTTTTGTTTGTTTATTTGTTTTGTTTTGGCAGAGAAAAGGTTGGATTTATTGAAAGCATTTTCCTGAATACAATCAACCCATCCCTACTTGTCTTAAATCCACAGGAGTCTGCCCAAGTCAAAAAGACATGATATTTTCGATTGTGTGTGTGTGTGTGTGTGTGTGTGTGTGTGTGTGTGTGTGTCTGTGTCTGTGTCTGTGTGTCTATGTGAGAGAGGGGCAGACAGACAGAGACAGAGACAGACAGAAACAGACAGAGACACAGACATAGACAGACAGACGCAGAGAGACAGAGAGCTAGACCAGAGGGACAGAGACAGAGACACAGAGAGAGAAACAAAGAGACAGAAAGAGATAGGCAATACTTCAACTTTTGCACTCAATCTTGGAGAAAGTAAGGGAAAGCCTCTTTCCTTCTGGCTTCTTGCTTCATTTACAGTAAGGATATCAATATAGATGTGATTCAGATCCTTGAGTAAAGTATCATGCCTATAGCTGTTAGACAAGGATAACAATGCAGGCAAAGAATACAAGACATTAAAATAATTTTAAAAATCTTCCTAGGTAATAGAATATTGAATCAATCTCTTTCTTTCTTTCTTTCTTTCTTTCTTTCTTTCTTTCTTTCTTTCTTTCTTTCTTTCTTTTTTCTTTCTTTCAAATTGTGGAAATGGTGCCAATGACTGTCTAGCAAGAAGGAAAAAAGGCTGTTTGAAAATATAAAAGAGAAACTAAGACACTGAAAAGTGAATAATTCAACCAATTACATTTGGCTTACATAAAATCAAATATCTAGATGTTTTGAAAACACTTGGATGATTGAATTTTTTACTTCTTCTCCACATGCTCAGTGTCGCATAGACCCAGAAGAATGTCTGGCCACTGTATGAACACTTCACTGTTTTTAGTTGATACAGCACTTTTATTCATAAAATGAATTACCGCCGTCACAATATTGAATAAAGGGTCACAATGAAAAAAGCCATCTATTCATTAACTGTGACAGGGTTTGTTCGAATGTATTGAAACCCCAAAGATGTGACTGTAAAAGAAAACAGGTTTCTGATCTTATTCAATAATAAAGAGATCAGTACAACAGGGTTTAATCACCTTCAAAATGAAATACAATCATCTGCTAACTCAGTAGTAGAAAACTTCGTTGCGTTCAGGAATTCAATGTGTCTCCATGAAGTGTAACCTAGCTGACTTTTTACAAAATTAATTATTGAGCCAAAGGCCCAAACAACCTTCTCTTAACTGATTTTCTCATCCTTCAGAAAGCCTTTCCTTCACTGTTGCTAACAAGGCCTTTGATTTATTATTAGTATTGGAAA